GGGCGACAGAGTGAGACTCTAACTCAAAAAAAAAAAAAAGATCCCCTTCCTTCTTCTCCCACCGTGGTCACAAATCCCAGAGCATTAAAAAAAAATATATATATATTAAGAGCAGCCAGGCCCAGTGGCTCAAGCCTGTAATCCCAGTACTTTGGAAGACCGACGTGAGTGGATTACCTAAGCCTACGGGTTTGAGAACAGCCTGGGCAACTTGGCAGGACCTCATATCTACAATCAAATTAAAAATTAGCTAGACATGGTAGCATGTGCTTGCAGTTCCGGCTACCTGGAAGGCTGAGGTGGTAGGATCACCTGAACCCAGCAGGTACTGGGGTAGCTGTGAGTGTGCCATTGCACTACAGCCTGGGCGATGGAGTGAGACTCCAGCTCAAAAAAAAAAAAAAATACTAAGAGTCCTTTAAAAAACAACTAAAATGTCAGCTGCTTTAAAGTCTCTTTTCTGTTGAAAATTCACATACTCTGTGCTAGTGATGATTATAATCAAAGACGCACCTATTATTAAGGTCTAAGAGTACAGCAGAACTATTTATAAACTGAGTGGTGGTTTATTGTTTCTGACTTCATCTTGGCAATATTTTCAAATTATGTTCCTGAAATTTAGCTATTTTAATAAATTATATTATTTCATTCAAACATATTCTCATTACTTTTTTTTTCACAATTACCCCAATGAATTTTAATAAGAGGTTAATAACATCTAGCACCATACAAATGCCTAGTACATAAGAAGCAATAATTAATAACTACTTAGTAAGTGAACAAAAAAAACTGATAACTTGAAGAAGGATCTAGTACAGGTGCATCTAGCATAATTATATGGATTGTCTAATTTATATAACACTCAGAGAGTAAGGCAACAAAATCCATTTTTATTTGGGCACTTTCATTGTTTTTGCTGGAAATTCTTATAAACTGTTTAATGAACTTCCTTGTCTCATTAAGCATTACCAAACATCACCAAACTCAGCCAAGAAAAGATGTAACAACCAAAAAAAAAAACAGTTAATAAAACAAATAAAAGGAGACTTGAAAGGACTCTTTAATAAAACCAGGTATACTGTCTTTTCGGAGGTTAACATAGAAAACCATATACATCAGAAAGAACAAGCTGTTATGTTAAAGACTTCTTTTTTTTTTTTTTTTTGAGTTGAAG